GGTTGTATTTAAAACCAAACTCAAAAAAAAGGAATTTACAGAGGTTTTTAAGGCAATGCAGAAGATCAGTGCTGTGTGAAAACTGGTACAGGAACCTGGCGTTTTAGAATATTAGAATTTATCCCTTCAAAGGATTTACCTTCAAAGGCCAACTAACCTTGTCTCAACACACATACAAAGCTGAAATCAGCAATGCCTCTTAAAAACATCCTCCTTTACCGGAGTTCAGTGCTGAGACAACTATTTACAGCAGTAATTCCGGATTTGGGGTTTCTAACTTGCTTAACATTTTATAAAAAATATGCCAGGTTGTTTGGGTTTTTTCCTTTTTTTGATATGAATCAAGACAGATACCTAGAGCATTCATTCTGTGTTATGGAAGCATTCATTAGGGCAAAATGTTTTAAATTAGTCTCAAAAGCGTTAACAGTGTAATAAATGGAAGACATTATAAATTGAAGCAGTACAGTAACCTTTGTTTTAAAACCTAATTCACAAGCAGTGCCAACAAACGCAAACAGAACCACTCTGTTTCAGACTTCATGTAACTGGCTATATTTCCATATGCCTATACTTTAAATGTTATTAGTTTTTAGTCAACTTTATAAGGGTAAGTCAACATTTGTCATGGCAGGAAGCCCAACAATATTATTTTTATTAGTCTGCTACTAGTTAAATTGGCCTCAGATTAAACAGTTCTAATAAATGCCCCCAAAACTCGGAGTTTAATAAAAAAAACCCCACATTCAAGCTTTGTTCCACAGGATGTTATCAGTATTTAACCTTCAGCAGGATAAAAAAACCAAACCAAACAAAAAAGGTTAAAATAGAAAAAACAACCTATGTTACAACAGAGTTTTTAACACAGCATTTAACCTAAAAATAAATTAAGCCAGGCATCTCAAGGCTTTTGTACCTTCAGAGCCAAACAAGTCTAAAACATTCTCAATTGATTTTGGCACTAAAAAGACACCTTTTTTATACTTGAAACAGCAGAGAATTTGCCTTTGCTTCATAGCATCTTAGAAATATTCTGACTGGCAAATTCTAGAACATTGACTCTTCTAGAACTGAGGCCTATGGTCAAGAAAAACAAAGTGACTCTAAAGCAGTTCTCAGTAAGTTCAGTGTTGCACAAAGGTAACTACAATCATATGCACAGCTCCATCCTAAAACCTGGGAGAGGCATCCCACCAGTAAAACTGCCAGCATCTCAAGGAGAATTTATCCAGCAATTTAAGTAAGTTGATACATAAAGGCAACTTAATCATCTAATAAATTATGAGTGTCAGTGATTCCACTTTGCTTCAAATCCATTAGGTTCCATCCACCACCTAAGTTCCCTGATGGGAGCAGGAGGAGGTTTGTTATTCCTCCTCTGTCAGTCTCCACAAAACCACCAAGCAAATAAAGCAAAATCCAGGGACACTTAGTTTTAATCACAGCACATCAAAGAAGAGAACCTGAAAATGATAGTTGGGGTACAATGAAAAGCCATTTAGGGAACTGGTGAAGTATTCCCAGTCAAAGACAAAAGCTGAAGTCTGCAGCATGTTATCCCATCATGTGCTCCTCAAGGACTGACTCCTCCCTCACACTGGCTGCTCTCATTAGTCACCATCGATTTTATTTGCCTCGTGCAGGACAGAACCACTGCACTGTCAGTAGCATAAGAACAAGTTGCATCCACCTATCTTGACTGATCACTCATTTGCAAAACCCAGAAATCAATATATCTATCAGAAGTTAGGAAATGAAGGCCAATTAACAGAAAAACCTCACACTGAGGTGAATTAACACAAGCAACAGAAATCCTGAAAAACCCAGACAACTAATGTAGGGTTGATTAAATTCTGCATTTCCTCTCATTAGAAGCTGCTTGTACAGGCAATATAAGAAAGACCTTTTCCATTCTGGAACAAACTGGATACTAACCTGGACTGCCAATTAACCCACAGACATCATATGGCGAGTTACTGAATGAAAAAATAAAGACAAGCTGTTTGTTTCACGCTGCCATTAAGCAGAACAGATCAGCAATTCCAAGTGGAGAGGTTTGACATGTTTCCAATTACACTACACATGAACTTACCTGAAATATGCCAAAACTGCAACTCGCTAATATTTCATTACAGTGAAACACATACATTTATGAAGATCAAAGAAAATTCATGACTTGGAGTTTATCTCATAATCTTTTGGCCCCTCTCGTCTGGCTCCATGCCTGGTTCTCCTGTTAATGATGTGCCATGGCCTAGGGGCCCGTGGGTTCCCCTTCACATCAGCCTTCCCTCACTCCCCATGTGGAATCAAACCCCGTCCTGAGCAGCAGGCAGTTCAGACCTCTCGCACCTCAGTGCTGTGAGGATATCAGGAGACAACAAAAGACAAACTGCAAACAGCCCTGATTCCTTGGTCTAAGATTTCTGCAGTATAAGAGCTGTAAGCAGACATGCAACATAGCGGAGATGCAAAGCAATTCTATGCCACCCTTGTGGGTTTTGGAGCCTAAACCCAGGCACTGTGTTGGTGCTTGTACAGCACAACAGGACATCCTTACTGTGAGGAATTCAAGAGTTACTTCCATGACTTCACACTGAGGCCTTTAAACCTCAATCTGTGACTGTGAATGCTCTTTCTCACCTGCTGAGGGTTTGCTTTAGAAAGGGTGAGAAGGGAGCTGCTTTAACCAGTGAAACAGCAAATGGTGTTTATTATTAGCAGGAAAGGTGTGGGGCTTCTTAAAATTTAGAGCAAGCAAATTTTAAGGTTCATTAACTGTCTCTATTTCTGAATTATGGAAAAGCTGAAAGAGCCCAACAGCTCTGTACTATTTACACCTAGAATTGTACTACAGGATTTTGTGTAGAACATACAATGATGTTATGTAAACATCACTGTTTACATGCACCATTGTGTATTCTTATAGTCTTTGCTGTATTAACTGAGGTACTGCAGTGTTTGTTGTCCTTAAACTGTACTTAGAACTATAATAAATTAACTGTACTTTGACTGGAACATTAGCATTTTATCAGAATGCAGATTTTTAGTGTTCGGAAATTTCTTGTCATTGTTTTGTGACTGTGCTACTTCTACAGAGTTTATGCCAAGGGAGCTGGTGTGGCTTAAATAAAGAACTGAAGTAGAAAACCTCGGTTCTCTTTTCTGCCACTAACCTGTTCCTCAAAACATCTATACAGCAGAAAATCTGTTCTACTCCAAAAACATCAACAGTTACACACAAGTTGGGTTATTCAATAAATCGACCAACTTCACATGTTAATAATTAGGATGAAACTCGATTTTCAAAGGCAGAAGTCCCTAACCCGCACACAGCAAGCGTTCTGGTGTAGTAACAGGGAACTGTGGTAGAAGGCGCCCAACAGCTTTAATGGCCTTGTAAATACGAGAGGCTGGAAGAACAGCTTAATGTTAGAGCCTAAGAAACGTGGATTTTTCTCCCGCATATTGACAGATTTTCAAGAAACAGGTCCTTATAATGCCTTTTCCAATTAGTACCTTTTATTTCTGCTTCCTTAACCAAATTTTTGGAGTGGTGGGTGGTCCTACCCTCCTAAAACAAATAGAATGTTTTAAAGTTTATTTTTCAGAATGCTGGAAGTCCATCTTACTCTCGGAAAATAGCCTGAAAGCACAGGGTGCATTTTCTTACTCGTATAAAACACAAGCTGTTTGCACACTGTAATGTTGATTGATCACATCTGTTATTCAATACTTCCTCATGCTCTCAGCTTTCAGAGTGTCTTTGAAATTTGACTATAATCAGGCTGCTTTTCCAACAGTAACAGAGCGACACTCCAACTCTTCAGATTTGATAATCCCATTCATTCACAAAAAAACCCCTTCATGCAGTAAAGGCTAAAAACATGTTTCTTTAGTATTACGATTAGTAAAATGAGTACCCTTAAAAGAGACATTTGGTACTTAACAGCTTGTGTTTTATGTAGATTCACCCCTACACACACACAGAGGGTGTTACTTTTCAAAACACACAGTAGAAAAAAATTCCACTTTGCTTAACTACAATAATTAAATCTCTCTATGTAAAGGTACACTGAAAAACAAAAGTGCAGCATCATCTAGTTAGTTCTTAGCTTAGCTTAAGCATCACGATTAAATATAAGGTCACCGGGCTTATGTTACTTTTACCTTAGGTCTATTCAACTGCTGGAGGTAATTAATCTTTGATGGAGATGTATTAAATGCACCCAAATTTAGGAAGCTGTCTTCAAGTTACTCAGCAAACAAGACTAATAAAGAAGCTATATATTTAAGTGATAAAATCTTCCAGACAGAAATGTTATCCTTCCTCAAGAGCACTCAGAATCCTTAAGGTCACTGTCCACCCAAACACAAAGCAATATTAAGCTAAGGTATCCAATATTTAAGCCTTTCACAAACATTTGCTCCTGAAACATTTCAGCATTTCTGAGAATTTTGCAAATGAGTATGTCATCCGGGTTAATGAATAAGATTTTTAATGTCACTTGAAAGGTTTTCATGATTTTTAAGAACCAGAGTAGTCAACCTGCTGGTATGGCAGAGTTTTCAGCTAATTGTTGCAGAGTTTTCAGCTAATTGTTCATGGGATTAGTTTCCTGTTTACTGCTGATGAGGAAAAGACACTTAATGCTTTAAGACACCATTTTTCAGGTTTCCTCCCAGTTCCTGCATAAGCTTAACACTTTGTAAGTCATGGTTAGTCCAGGAATAAAATAAAAATAAATCACTTAAGTAAAACAGGTATTTCGCAATTAGCTACTTTAAAGACTAATTCTAATTTCTTCAAGTGATAGGTGACAAAAACCTAAATTCCGTTTCTTGCCTTATTCCAAAAAGAAATTCAATACCTAGAGAAGGCGGTAAAAGATGCCTGACCGAATCTACACATCGCAGCCCGTTCTCAAAGCACGTTACTTTTCCCCGGAGCAATATAAAGAAAAATAAAGCCGCAACTGTGTAACCAGTAGATCAAGTACCTCGGTCTCTTTAGCTGGGCTGGGCACAGTCTGCACTTCCAAGGCACAGTTCGCCCTCTTGACGGACAGGTAGAAAGGATAATCCTTGGCCACCATGGTGGCGGCGGGAGGGGCGGGTTCGGGGCTCACCGCCGGCTCTGTGCGAGCACAGGGGGTGCAGCCGCGGCCGCGCCGGCCCTGCCCGGCCCCCGGCAGCGCTGTGGCTCCGCGGTGCCCCGGCCCGAGGCTCGGGGCGCATCACCCGCTCCGGCTCGGGGCGCGACTGCGGCAGCGGCAGCGCCGGCAGCGGGGGCGGAGCGGGGCGGGCCGGGGCGGGCCGGGGAGCCCCCGCACCCCCGGGAGGGGCCGCGGAGCTGCTGCGGCGGAACGGGCACCTCTGCCCGGCCACTGACAGCGGGCACACCCACGGACAGGGCCGTGTCACCTCCCTGCTGCGGAACCGCCCGGCTCTTCGGGCAGCCGAGGGTCCGACCGGAGCGCGGGACTGACCGGCAGCGGTCCCAAAGGGCACAGCGCTCCCAAATGAGCGGTCCTGTCTCAAATACACACTGGACTGCAGTGGCTCCGCTCCTGCTGATCAGAGAGGGAACCTGCATCGTGTCGTGGTGCCACAATGTCTCTGCTTTCATCCTCCCTCCCCCTCTCTCCGCCTTTTTCCCCCCATTATTATTTTTTCCCATTTTTTTTTCATTCACCCATATTGTTGTTTATTTCCTGTTTGGCAAGCTAGAGTTTGTTTCTTGTGTTTTTTAAGTTCCACACTTTTGTTGCCATTGTTCGACCAAAGAGCTCCCCTGCTCGCACCCCTCATTGTAACAAGCTGAGAAAGTGGAAAAACACCTTTGCCTCGAGTGTCTCCTAGGGCATTTCAGTGTCTGTGCAGCCAGGCAAATTCTGTTTGATGGCTACCTTAGAACAAAGGTAGTGAAAATTTCCTGAAAAGAGAGAGGAAGCGTTAAGGGCCCTGTCGGCAACACAGGATCAATCTGACAGAGACTATATGGGAGACAAGGAAAAGGAAACTGAGTAGGAAGCTGGATGGGGGAGGAGGGAAGGATATTTTCAGCCAAAGGGAAACGGCACAACCAAGAATAACTTCATAGAGCTTGAAAAAATAAACTGGTTTTAAAGGCAGATCCTATGATGGATGTGGCTTTACAAGCATCTATTTTCCTACAGGCTGTTAATCAGATAACAATGACTTTAGAATAAGATTAGTCAAATGGCAAACATAATCCTCATTTGGACACCATCCTTTCACTTCACCAATATCCCAAGCACATGATCCCAAGCATGTGATAGCTCTCACGCTTACCCTCCCTATGTCTTTTCAGGAGCACCTGCAGTACAGCCAGGGATGCTATCCCACTGCCTGCTACACCTTTCTATTCTGTGGTAGTCTGCCTATATTTTGGTAAGCATCATGACAGGCTATTTTTCTTTTGGACTCTCCTCTAAGCAGCTCCTGCTGGCCACCACTGGAGATCTGGTGTTAGGTTAGATCAATTCTTGCAGCAGCCCCTTCCTTTCCATATTTCAAAAAATATGAAAAGAATGTAGCATTTTATTTGGAGACTACTTGTCTTACCTGAGGATTTCTGAAAGTATGAACAGTTACTTCAGTGACATGAAGATACATTCATTTCTGCAGGTCTTCTTCAGTGTGCTGTTCAGATGACATACCTCTGAGCACAACCTGATCATGCTGGACAGTCTCTTCTCCCATTTCAAGCACATCAAAACACCTCTACACACAGGTTGTATAAAATGGTCAAGAACCTCCCCAAGAATGCTGCAGCTGCTGTATAACCATTTAAGACCAAGAAGCCTTGATTTCAAACACCATCTGTGTATGTTTGTTTAGGAAGGTGTATGCTAACACCATTTCAAAAGTCAGCTTCACTTAAATCATTCAGACAAAATGTCTTCAGGGCTTGTCCTCAAGGCAATCTAATCCTGTAACATGCTTCATGGCATAAACAGCACTTCACTCAGGACAAGAGTGTACTGGTTTGGACACTGAAATAATGAACTTTGGTTTATACACATTAAAAAAAAACCCAAACCAAACAAAACAAAAACATGCCAAGAGAGAAATTCTGTCATTTCTCCGTTAATCAGGCCAGTGCACTTCAGCTTGACTAAGTGTTCTTGAGAAACAAGAGAAAAATTAGTCCTAAAAGGAGTACGATTCTTAATAGGCAGGATTTCCATGTCAGTAAGTTTCAGAGCATCTTGCCCCTCTAAGATAGACTTCAATGACATCTAAACCAGGACTCATTGGACTCTGTGGATGTTTGTTCATTTCATCACAGAGTATAAATACAAATTTTAGAACTGAAATTTGGACCCAGAGTCCAAATTATCTGATGGAATAACAAATGGTACAATTTCAAACAATTCTCTCTTTCAGAGAACTGAATTTGTCTGTAAAATGCTATGTTATTTATAAACAATGAATTATGATTACAGTTTAGCCATGGTATTGAGTCCCTTCTGTACTGCATATCAAACACAACACTTGGAGTCCATTCTGAAAGATCTTATAGACTCAGTACTGATTTACATTTACATTTCATTTCTACTTTAATTTAGTATAGTCAATAGTCCCTGCATTGTGCACGTGCACACACACCCAGCAGAGCCAAATGGCACTTCATAAACTTGTGCCTGAAAGACTCCCTAGAGAACTCCAGTTATACAGTTGGAGAAACAAAGGTTTCAGTGATTCCACTAAGGAATCTTGTAAGTGTGGAGCCAGTGAGTCCAACTCTTGCCAAAAATTTTAGTTAGACTACAAGTCTACACTAACACTATAAAGATTAGATCTGAATTGTAAGCTACTTTCAAGAAATAAACTAGTATTTAAGATAAGACAATGCTAGTGACTGGATTGCAGAGCAGGCCAGTGCATCAGTTTTGCCATTTCTGGAACAGTTTTTTTGTGGGTTTAGTTTGGGGGTGTGTGTTCATTTACACAAACCAACAGCAGCATTTAGTCAGATATCTGTCAGGGAGAAGTAAGCAAACTATTTGGTAACTCTGGAAAGCCTTGCTCATCAAAGGTACCACCACTGCCCTGGTTCAGCACTGAAGTTCCCTGACAGAGCTGCTCTGTGGTCATGGTGTTCACACCAATGCCTTCAGTTCATTTCCTCCCCGACTCAAAACCTGACACGGAAGGAGCTCTTGCAAAAGCATCTGCACAGCAAAGCCCTTTGACATACTCAGGTTCAAACCTATAGAACATCTTCATACGTGCCCAGAATTCTTCTTCATCTTATGCTAATCTCTGAGATTCATACAGCTTTGATCAGAGTAAATTTAAAATTAAAATGCAAAATACAATGGCAAAAGAATAAAAAACAATTAAAAAAACCTTGTTTCCTTTTAAAGAACAGTTAAGAAGCCATTACACTAAGCAAGAGTAAAAGGAACTGAAACATTTAATCTAAACATTAAAATTAGGAAAAGCCCAGTGGAGCAAAGAAACTTCAGCAATCAAAGTCAAGGGCTTTAAGGAGTTCAGTGGAACAGAAAATTATCAATTAAAGCTGAACTCTGCCTAAAGAAGAAAACTCACAAATAGATGCTTTTAGGATTTGAGTTGGTGTTTTTATAGTTTTGTTACAGTTTTGTTTTAACATGATCTTTGCCAACAGTTTTGAACTGCCTTGGGCAGAAATGCAGAATCTGTGATTGAACAGAACAGAAATATTTTGAGATGTCTACACCCGGATCTTGACTACCTTCTTGTTCCTGATATGCTACTGTGACTGCTTTCCCTTTTAAAAGTCAGAATCTGTTTTGCCAAGCTGTTAAAAAAATACAATCTGATAAATACAATAAATATTTTTGTAAAATACTGGTACACCAAGACCTAAGAGACTCCAAATGTTTATCTACTTGCCTTTGCTTTTCCTCCCTCACCCAATATCAAACAGACCTTGGCTTCTTGTGGTCTGTGTTTGACACTGATGCCTAAGAAGCAACCAAGCCTTAGCTGGAACAATTCGGTCTAATTATTTATTTTCTTAATTACAACTAGCAAAGCCACAAGAAAAGTACTAACTGTATTTCTCCTGTGATTCATATTTATGGGAGCTTTTCCTTTTGATCTGTCCATTCTGATGACATAGAAAGACACACTTCTGCATATAGATACTTTCTTGGTGAAATATATGCCTATGTGACAAGTTTCCAGCAACAAGACAAGAATTTAAGCAAAGGTGTAGTGCTTCAAAAACCCCAACCAAACCAACCAAACCAACTGTGCTATCACTATAGTCTTCAGATATGTTATATTCCCAGCTGATTTTAAGAAAATTACATTAAGAACAATAAAGAGTCCATTGCTCTGTTTTCAGATCAGATGAATTGCTGTAAGGATATCAAGTTATCCAGTAGTCTGTGAGCCATCCTAAGTGGAGTAGCTCTGCTGTCTAGCTAAGTTACGCCAGGTTTATGGAGGGAGTAAAAGATTTAATGCAAAGTGTGCTGCAGAGAACCAGAATCTCCTACAAAATTTGACCTAAGTGTGCCAAGAGTACTTGGCATATGAAGTTTCTGAAAATTTTATGCACAACAAAAGCCTTAAGTAGAAATATTGCACACACATTTCAAGGGGGAAAAAAACTCCTGAGTAGTTCGCGCTTTATGGAGTATTTTTCATATAATGCACCCATTCTCTCATTTAAACTGGAAAAAGATTTGACATTGGGAAGAAATTCTTTCCTGTGAGGATGGTGAAGCACTGGCACAGGTTGTCCAGAGAAGGTGTGGCTGCCCCATCCCTGGAAGTGTTCAGTGCCAGGCTGGAGGGGGCTTGGAGCAAACTCGTCTCGTGGCAGGTGTCCCTGCCCATGGCAGAGCTGCCATTTCAACCTGCCTTGGATTCCTAGATAAAAATTGTTCTGGTGACTGGTTTGCTGGCTGGCCTAGAGAAATCGGGAAGGATTCCCACTCCTCCACCTCTCTCCCACACCCAGCAGTGCTCACCAATTATCAGCAGGGTGGTCCCTGCTGAGGGAATGCACTGGGTGGGGTGAGGTTGGCTAAAATGACCCTCCAGCAGTCACACTTAGAAGTTGGTTGAGGTTTTCCGAGTCCACAGCCCTGG